CCCACTCATTGATTCTATAATTTCATTGTCACTTCCTGTAACTTCATTGGTGTTAAAGGTCACGTGACATCACTTCCTGATGTGATACCACTTCCTGTGAGGTCTTTGAATATGGCTCACCGGCCCACTGGGCGATAAAAAGTTTGTGATCTGGCCCCACATTCAAAAAGGTTGGACACCTCTGAACTAGACCTTCATGGATTACAAAGGGAAAACTATTAATTGACCGCATAGTAAGCAAATAGAAAAAAAAAGAAAACTTCTTATTTTCCTCTGCCTAACTGCAACAATAACAATGTTTGTAACTCAAGTTGGCAAAAATGTTAACAATAAAGGAATTTCACGTTGACAACATCTGTTCAAGAAACAGATCAGAGCTGGACAAACCCTGCCCTCAACGTTACAGAATGTGATGCACTTTTAAGACTTACATTTGTTGAAGAAACTGTTTTGCCTGCTTTGCTGTACAGTCACACTGCATGGAGCAGAAACGTAACAATGTGTCTGCAGTGCCCACGCTAAGTTTGTATATCCACTCCTGTTGATTGGTAGTGAGATGTAGCCTGTAGATAAAGATACAAAATTGTGAAGATACTTTTATCTTTCATAAAGCCTTAAACTGCTCATTTTTGTGAAAGACATAATTATTTGGGTGGATCTCCACTTGTTGGGTGGGTTCTTCTCTCGTTTCCTTGTTGTTGTGACAAAGTATTTAGCAGAATTCAGATTTGTTGGAATCTGACACGGCCATGCTGTAAGTGCTTCTGTTAGGGCCTTGAACCAAGACTCTGGCCATCAACCGTGCACCTTAGTGTGCCCACACCACCCCAACCTCCAGTTGGGAGGGTGGGCAGTAATACAATAAGTATCATAGAAGACATGCTAATTAGATTTAAAATGATCAGCAGAGGATTTCTAACACAGGGGAAAACTACTATACAAAAGAGGAGGAATACTCCCCAACTATCAAGTATTACTGGACATAATTGCCAGTAAATACATCACAGAAAACTGCGCTCTATGAAGAAAATCCAGATATAAAATCAGCCCTCCCCAAAACCATAATTCTAATGCCCACGCAATGTGTTAATGAGGGCTACAACAGGGTTTACGAAAAGGCTGCCTTTGATGCGTTCAGTTTAGAGGAAGTATAAGCAGGATGAATATCATACATAAAGGGGAGCAGGACCCCTCAGCTTTGGGCGAGTTTACACATTCCCAATTGCTTGTAGCTGAAGTGGTCAGAAGCACATCCCTCAGATACAATGACAGTCCTTCTCTTAACCTAATCTAGTCAATCACTCATGCCTTTGCCACCTTTAATAACAAGACTGTAATGTTATATCTTAAGGACCAATACAGATGATGCAGAATACAGCAGTTATTTTATTAATGCAGCATGTCATACTAATGCTCCAGGGAATGCATTTGTTTCCTCAGTGACTTTTAGATGCAACTGAAGGTCATGATATTGATCTTTAAAGCAGTATATATTGTTTAGTGCTTAGGTACAGCAGAATCAGCCTGGCCTACAGAAGGCTAACACTGCACTTGACTGCATCTTACCTACTTTCATGCCCAGTCCCTAAATTTAAATATATGGGTGTTGAGGCCAGCGATCCGTCAAAGGAATGCACCTGAATTACTGCTCATGTAGTCCCAGCTGACCTTCAGGAGACTTGTACAAGTTTTGTTTGCCTTGGCTTAAGCTATTGCTTTAAGTAACTGAATGAGGGTGTATTTCCATTTACTGCCTTGCATAGTGTTTCTTTAAATTTGAGCTGAGTCATGAGGCATTGCTCACCTTTATTTTATCACTAATGAACATACACTGAAAATAGTGTGTAGTTTTATAACAAAATGACCACTACTCTTAAAAAATATATATCAATCTGTAGTTACCCACAAACTATATACCAAGAAAAAACACACACATTTCTGCATCCTCATAAAGGAACTGGATTCTTAGATTAAACATACAATGATAGAAAATTAGGGTTGGAAGGGACCTCAGGTCATCTAGTTGAACCCTCTGCTCAAAGCAGGACCAGCCCCAACTAGATCATCCCAGCCAAAGACTTTGCCTACCCAGATCTTAAAAATCTTCAAGGATGGAGACTCCACAATCTCTCTAGGTAATCTGTTCCAGTGCTTTACTACTCT